CATTAAAGTTCTGGGCTTGTAAAGTAGAAGTAGCAACGAACGAGGAACTTGCCACGGGTATTCAGTGAAAGTGCCAAGGGACAGTTTTGCGGCAACGTGGGCGTGTAGTCAGAGGCGCCGGTAGCAGACCGAGAAGAAGAAGAGGCCGAGGGATCGGGCGCACTAGGAAGAAGACTGGATCGACAACGAAGAGAACCGGAAGAGGACGCAAGAAAGGCAACGCAGACGGCAGAGGCGAATCCCGTCTCTCTTTACAAACGCAAGAGGTTGGGAGACGAAGGCGGGTTCGCCGCAGCGAAAAGGCACGACCATCAAGGCCAAAGTGGGAAAGTCCACGAGGTAACGGTTGGAATCGCAGAAATAGGTCAAGTTCCACGTCGGCAGGAAAACATAGGAAAGTGTTAGAATTTGAGGACCACGGGTGGCAAACAAATTACAGATATTTATAGTAGAAGACGTTTTGATGCGCCTAATTGCCTGCCTAAAACATTCTACTTAGGACATTTTTATTATTTCGCTATTTTCAGACCACAGTTAAATTGTAAATTAAGTTGTGCCACTTGCACACATTTTGCTTCTTTTACAAGTAAATCTTGAAGCAGAGAATTGTTTAATTGAATTTTTGATTTCACGTGAAATGTAATTAGGAATAGCACAAATCTAGATATAATGAATTTTCCAGGGAATTCCCCAAGGGTTAGTTTAGGGTAATTATGTCAGAGTATCAATTGAAGTAAATTATGTGTTCATTCACATGAGTTGTGTGTTGTAAAGGTTTCTATCTGTGTTTGTGATTATTCTTTTGTAAAGTGTTGATTCTATATTCTTGGTTTCTGTCATTAACTTATCCCACTAAAAGGTTTATGGTTAAAAATTTACGGCTCGTTTGTGCTGCAAATCTGTGATTTTTTTATTGTGTCAAGCGGTTTTCAAACCTTTCTCGCCACCCTGAAGATCTTGCTCCCTAGATTTTTAAAGCTCGCTTTCACCAGCAAAATTTTGTAACCGCTTACAGTTTCATGCCGCTACTGTGAAGGTGGAATTGGGCTGGGGGGGTGTAGGTGGGTATTGTTAGATATATTGTTAACGTTTCTTAGTGGTGAATTAAAACGCCGTAATATTTTAACAAGGACATTTATTTTGTTTCTTAATGATACACTAAAAATACTTGATATATGTACCGATAGGTGGCAGAGTCCTTGTCAATTGAAAGATATTAACATGATATTCTGAATGGCTTCTAAGCTAGTTATTTTATTAAACAAATACGCCTAAAACAGAAATTTTTTATTATAAAAAGTTACCAATATTATTGTAAGAAATTAAAAATACTTAAAATAAAATATGCCTCAAATACAAATAAAAATATTTATTGCCTCCATTCTGCGTAAGTGATGGTCGTCATCATTGGAAGATTCTTCTTGATGGATACCTCTTGCAGGTTTCATGTTTTTATGGTAGTGGCGATAAATTGAAGGTATAAGCTTCAACAGGCCTATTACATACTTTTCTTTTGCCAAGGAGAGCGATCTGGATGTGCTAGAAACAAGTTCTTTTGTGATATTAGCTAGACTTTCTATGGGCATCTGTTTCTATTTTTCTGTTGGATATTAATTTTTCCGGATTTAATTTATGGCGAGAAAGTTGTTTTATATTTGATAGCAAATGGTTTAGCCTTCTTAATCCCGATATTTACGCACGTTTTCTTGAGCCCTCATTTCGCCAGATGCGAGAGGGGTGGGAGTTTGAATATATTGTAGACGGAATTATTATATCAATTTTTCAGTTCGATTTTCGAAACAAAATAATTTTTATTTCACAGAAAGGAGCATTACTTTTTTTCAGATTTGTTAGCAGTGAGAGTATACAATTGGTTAAAGATATTTCACAGCTCAAGAAAACGTGCACGTATAATATATCTCATCGTCAGCCAGTTAACTGGTTCACCTTTGACACTTTATTTCGTGTTGATGATACATTTTACTAAGTTTTCTATCGACTGAAAGTATAAATAGTTTATTTCGTTGAGGAAAAACTTGTTTTTCCAGCATTTCATACCAATCCCTTAAAAAATTATGTGGTAACTAGTTTTTGCTCTTTATTCAATACAGGAAAAAAATTGAATCATTCGTAAGGTAACTGTATCCTGGTAGAAGGTAATTGAAGTCAATAGTTTCTGTGATACCATTCTCATTTTGCATATATTTCAAAAGATGCAGAACAATTTTGATGTTGCGGTTTTGACAACCGCATGAGTCAGAGTTCATGTCTTTATGTTTGGCATTATTGTTATTTATAGATTGAAATAAGAAAGTAAACATAAGAAATGCCACATACACAAACACTGTAAAGTTGGAAAACACGAAACAGTTTCGTTGAGTTCAAAACAGTTCGGTTAAACATAGGCATTCATGAAGCCAAGGAATTAATCACACTGGCCACCGAAACAACAGATACAATGTTCATTTGCCAGAGCAGTTAACACATTCTAGCAGTAAACCATTTAGATGTGAAGTTTGTCATATTGGCCACTGACAAATATTTACTTGTTACAATCCTGTTAACTCACTTTCACTTTTCACAGTTAGATTGGCTTCTGTCCGCCTCATATAATATACATGCACTCACTATAGAGTATATACACATGTGTATAAGCTTGAGTTACGCTACTGTTGTGCTGTCACGAAATATTACAATCCCACTTGATTTCAGCTCATTATCATCATCCCAAAAACCATTGATGCGAGCCATTGTTGATAACCACCGCCATCACCCGGACTATACCTCACCAAGGTGATGTGGTGAGCGGCAGTGTAACGGTGGGTGTCACTGCACCACTGTTTATCGCGATGCACACTTCACAGCTCAGCTTCCACTGCAGACTTCAGACTGCTGACTGCTATTCGCCCACAGCACCACTGTTCACAGCTCAGCTTTCACTTCAGACAGACTACTGCATACTCACACTGACAGACTGACTGCTTACTACTTCTACTTCTTACTGCTACTTCCATCGGCCGTCGGCAGCGGCAAATTTATACGTGCCGCGGTGGCGTGCAGCGGTGGCGGCATGGGAAGAACCCTGCCTCTTATCGAAAGGGCGCCGCTGTGGCGATGTGTGAAGGCGTATTATGAGCTTGTCCCGGCTGGGAGGATACCCCGCTGGTTGTAGATACCTGGTGGTGGAAAATCTCTTGAAATATGACAATCATGAGGAATATTTTGAGCAGTATTATAATATTGGGCAAAGTATCTTGCAGCTCGGGTTTTTACAGTAAATTGTAATAATTCAAGCAACACTATAATAAATAGTAAAAGTACGAGTTTAATTAGTAAACGAAAGTATCGTAACATATTTCAAAACAATCACTAATAAATTAAAAATATATAATTCAATTCACTGAAATTTACTTGTTCCGATTTTTTTTTGATTTTAATAAATTAAAGCTTGAACAACTACATAAATAAATTATTTAATACTCATATACTACGTACACGAACAATACAATTGAACAAGGTTCATTTCCGCAGAGTTCAGTAAATTATTGATCACTACCCTATACGAGCACTAACAATCTCAGTTCGGGAAGCGCATACATATATGTACGATTAAGTTAATATAAATTGGACTGACAATCTATCAACAGAAACTTTCTTTGAATTGTCAAAACAAGTCTTCCCTGAAGTGACTTATCCATACAGTAATCTAATTTGCAGGTTTTATTATAAAATACTGAACCCTATTCTTCGTATGATAGGAGTCATTCTCGATTAATATTGGTCATAAACAATTCAAGCACAAAATAAAATACGATGAATCCCTACAAGTGAGTGCAGAACAAATGAGTGTTGCCAGTCGCTACAATGAGCAAGATATCATTATTACGCATTCATTTAAAGAAGTCACAGAATAAGTAATGAGAGATTCCGTGCTCATTCTAATCGTTCTGAATCGTAGGTGCGACAAAAACATGAAATGAAACGGTTCAAATTTTTACAAGATATTGTTTATGTGAAATTTTGCCGCAATTGACCGCAAAGTGCCGTCAGGAGCGCCCGCACCCACTACGCTACGCCACTGCCTCTGGCTGAAGGGATAAAAGGCACTGACTGATTGACTCTAGGCTGACTGCGACATAACAAGACTTGGCAAAGATAATAACGGAGGATTACTCAATGGCAAGCGCTCAACCCCCGCAAGGGTTCAAGAGACGTGTTGTGTCACCGACGACACAAATAATGACTAATGGAAGGAACAAAGGAACCTGTAACTCTGTTTCTACTCTAACAAGGAACCTGTAACTCTATTTTTATTTTTAAAATTTATTTTTATTTATTTATGTTAAACTTTTACTCATCTTTCAACTATTTATGTTTAAAATGACGGGAAGGGATTCTGGAACTCAAGAAAACGTGCAGATAATCTCCCTCCCGTCGCACACACTTTCTCCTGTTTTTTGACTGAATAAATCTAAATCTAAACCTATTATTTATCCTTGTGATATTGTAATAAACTAGCAGCAGACCGGTTCTACAGCAAACTCCCGTACTTCATCTATAGATATATAATTGCACGTTATCCATAAATAATGGATTGGGATTTCTGAAACTTTTGACACGTTTGTTGACAAGAAATATTAACAAAACAATGCTTGTCATTAGAAATTGATTACCAATTTATTTCGACGAATTGTACAGGAAATAATGTAAGAATAAAATAAGTAAATATAGTAAATAATGTAAGACTGCAAAACGCCCTTTATAATTTGTACATTTGGCACGTGCTCATTAATAAGGATTCATTGATGTAACTTAATTTTTGTGTTGAATATTTTGAGATTATAAAGCCATGTTGCAGTTGTACTAACATGCCATCTTTCACAATCTTTCATTGGCATTTGCATTCAAATTTATCTGTGTGCGTTTGCTTGTGTGTCAGTCTGTGCCATAATAAAATAATTATTTCAAAATGCATTGCTGCATTTATTTTCTTTGACAGCTTTCCACAGTTGGCATTAACAGTTATTTCTTTCATTGGCATTTGCATTCAAATTTATCTGTGTGTGGTTGGTTGTGTGTCAGTCTGTGCTATAATAAAACAATTATACCAAAATGTATTGCTGCATTTATTTTCTTTGACAGCTTTCCACAGTTGGCATTAACAGTCGTGTACGAACGAAAGCGTGTATGGCATATGGCGTGGTGCGGCAGTGTGAAAACGCAGTGATTGTTATTATTGGTGAAAATCCAGAGTTGTAGCTCTTTAAAAGTGCGATTTTCTGCAAGTTACATTAATTTTCGTTGATTGACGAATTCTAATCAAACTCTGTCGAAAACTGTTTTGGCCATTCTATTTTCCTCTCGATTTCGCGCCCGACGGCACCTGGAGTACGTACACGTCACCGTCAAGGGATGGCGTCAAAAAATGCGAAGGATAAAGATAACCAGGTAAATATTTTTGTATGTATTGAGTCATGTGACACAAACAATTCATAATTTTTTATACATTTAACAATATCGTGTACCATGTTCTGGAAAACATTGACACATTGCGGAATTAACCTCAATGTTGCATCTTGAAATGAACACTCGTTAAGTATGTTAGATAATTCTTGTATTTCGGCGTGAAGAAATTCCTGAGAATGAATTGTCAAATGAAATGGTTTCATTTAGTTTTGCACTTGTCTATAATTTTACGAAATGCCTAACCTATTAGGAATTCTTCATTTGACCTGTGAAAGTAGCGATTTATTACTTCCTCATTAGTTAGTTGGATTAGACAAGAAGTTACGCCGCTTTTTTCTATTAATTTTATTATGTGCATTTCAGGATAAACCAGTGAGAATAAATAAGTGGGATGGCAATGCTGTTAAGAATGCTCTAGATGATGCAGTAAAGGAGGTATGATGTACCACTTAATAAAGGTTTAATATAGAGCCAGTTGATTTATTATTGCAAATATTGCCTTGTTTTGTAATTCAGGTTATCACAGTTGATTTGTTAGAATTTACAGTATATTTAGGTCATATGAGATTGTACAAACATTGTAAAAGATGTTGAAGTACTGTACATTTATCTTGAATTTCTGTAAGTACATACAAGTAAACTTTTATTTTTGATCTCCTGAGTTCTAAATTTCTTTAAAATCATTGTTTACTAATGTTTTGGCATTTAATGGGTGTGATTAATTTACAAAACTCAATATGACCTCATTATAGAATTATTACAGAAAGGCTGAATCTCATTTTCTAAACAAACACACAAACAAAAATGTATTGTGTACTGTGACAATATATTCAAAATGTTTGTCAACAGGTGCTTACTACAAAATTTAATTATGTAGAGCATTTTGCATTAATGGATGGAAGATTATTTATGTGTGGCATTGCTGTTGGAGTTGCAATGTTTGCATTATTATGGGATTATTTGTATCCATTTCCTCAGTCAAGGTGAGATAGTTGCAAATGTTTAACCTGGTCATGTTTTAATAAATTATTAAAATTAGCTCATTTAAGTTTACTTATTCATCATAATCATGTTTTGATGTTTTTCTTTTTGTTGGACAGGCCAATTCTTATTTTCTGTGTCTCAACCTACTTTATAATGATGGGTATTCTGACACTTTACACAACGTATAAAGAAAAAGGCATATTTGTTGTAGCAATACAGAAGGATCCGGCTGGTTTTGTACCTGACAATGTATGGGAAGCCAGTTCTTACCTGAAAAAGTATGTGGGTTTGGATATAGGAAATTATTTACTTTTATTATTTTTTTTTTATGTTGTGTAAAAATATTTGTCCTTGTGTGAGTGAGTATATTCCATTTATTGTTTCTTGATTATCTTTCAGGTATGATGATAAGTATAATTTGGTACTGTCTGTAAAAGATGGGAAGTCTGGGGCCTGCAGAGAAGCCACTCTGATCAAATCGATAGCAAATTTCATTGATGAAAATGGAACAATAGTATATGAACTTCTGGAACCTGAAATAAGTAAATTACATAACACGCTTTTATTATCTGAACGTAAGGATAAATGAATGAAATTCAGGTTCATGAACAGTGAGTGTGTGCTTTGATTAGTATGTTCACTCTTTGATCTTTGTTTCAAACAATTTTTTTGGACAAACATGGAGTAAGTGCAAATGAAATTAATGTATACTGTAAAATAAATTCCGTTATGTTGGAGTCTTTTATTGGTGTGATATTCAATGTTGAGATTCTGCTTCTCAAGTGAAAATAACTAGTATGCAGATTTGAAAATTGTGTGTATAATATTTTATACCAATAATTAAAGAGAGTGTCACATTAATATGTACTTGAAATGATTAATTATCCTGAAATAAAATCTTCAAAGTTATTCCATGAAGTATTTTAATATGTATTTTTTCCCTTAACAGTCCCCATTCTCAAATTAACTCTCTGTCTCAATAGAAAAGATAAACAAAGTGGAGAATGACATGTGGGATTCAGAGGTTGTAATGAGACAGATTTGAAATTGTTTCAGGAAGACAATATTGTGCACAAGGAAGATAGTGTGACAATAACAATGCAATGAATATTAGTTGGGTGTGCAGAATTTGTTTTTTTTAATTTGCAAGAAATAAATGCACTAGGATGGATGATTGGCTTAAGATCAGCTTTGTGTGTTTTTAAAAATTTTTGTTTTGAGATTTTTAAAATATATAGCATATATTATAGCATAAAATATATTTAAAGTTTTGTTATGTTGACTCAAGTTTGTTTTATATTAATTGTGAAGGCCAAAGGCTACAGCCTTTTGACAGACTTGGATATGAGTAGTGAAGTGTCAACTGAGCTTTAACACTAGAATGCCCGGCTTGTCAATACCCTCTGGAACCCCCAGTAGAGTTGCTTTGACTCTGAGCCTTCAACATTACATCTTTAAAGGAAATATTGGAAAAATATTTATCTATGCCACTTAAACATTATTAAAAACAATAATTTAATGTATAATAGAGGTATTATGCCACATCTTAAATTTATTTTAAACATTTATTGTCATTACTGTCCCGTAAAGGAAGAAAAAGAAATATGATGAACAGTATGTGGAAGTAAACAGACAAATATTTGTGTTGAAAAGTAAATTTTAATATGTTAATAATGTAATAATAATAATAATAATAACAGAAAAATGTTATAAATATTTAATTTTAAATAATGTTAATTTCATATGTGACATATTGCACCTCCAATAGGGTGCAATATGCTTTCCTTGCATCACACAAGTGCAAATTTCTGATTTCTCAGAAATTGTAAGTTTCATAGTTCTGTAACACTTGTTATAGATTGTACCAAATATTCGCCTTCTAGCGGACAGTAATTGAACTATTTCAAAATCAATTTCAGAATAATAGCATTACCTCTTGGTAACCTCTTATCAGCTTTTAGCTGAAAAATGACGCTTTTGCACATGTGTCACTTTTCTATTGGATGTGTGTCCTTGCATTGCACTTCTTGATCTGCCGCACAATAAGTCAAATTTATTTGAAATATTTTAAAATGTTTATTACACACTGATAGGAACTTGATGTGTGTTACGTGAATGAGTTCTAAAAGAAATTTAATCCCTTGTTTCAAATGGAAGTAGTTCTTGTTCAGATTTTCATTGCGTTTATAATCTACCTTATACATATCTACATTTCCCATTTTTCTGAATTATTTGAAGAAATGGTTTTTTCATTCAACCTTTACGTGATAACATTGCTATTCCTTTGTGTGATAATAATTTTGTTTTCGAAACTTAGAGATATATTTACTACTGTCACAAAACAAATGATGAATTTGCAAGTAATGAACACGAAGGGTAGAAAAAAATACAAACTAGAAGGAATGCTCACTTCTTCAGAAGGTATCTGAAATACTAGGAGAGGCTTTTACAAAATTTCAGTGTTGAGATATACGAAATGAAAGCTTCAAGATAGGGACAGAAGTCGAAATGACTCTCACTGGGCCTTGTAGGTAAATTTGATTATTTTTCATGAAATATATTTTTTAACATGTTTCAACTTTTAATATACTGTAAAAAATTGAAAATGATGAAAAGTCATGAATCACAAAATCCTAAGTTTAAAAACAAATAAGGTAAAAGATCACCTTTAGCTTTCTAGTGTTAAACGTTTTAGGTTATAAGACCCAATTTCACTGATTTGCATTATCATTCTCTATGTTCTTACAGTAGAGAATTAATTCTATGAAGCATGAAAGGGGATAAGAGCACAATTTATTATAGTTCAATTTCCCTTATAGTTACTATGACACTATGGACATTATGGGCATAATGTTAAATAGTAGTTGTTTAAAGATCTCACTAATTAAGTATACATCAATATTTTAATGCACATGAATGTATTTCTATGTTTTAATAATTAACAAGAGTGGAAGTACATTCTCAGATCTCAAGAAAACCTTTGAACATAATAGGTAGAATGGCTATATGTATTGTGGTCAAATGAAGGATCTACAAAAATACTGTTATGGGAAGAATAGTGTGTTTGGAATTCAGAGATTTTGTTCTTGTACAATGATTTGTCTAATTTTAAGATATTAATTAGTACTTTAAATGATGTTCGTGTATAAGTCAAATTGTGAAAAATTTCTACAAAGTACTTAAATAATATTTTCTCAATAACAGCCCCAATTTTCTTCTTTTCTTTGTGTGTATGTTGAGCCCTGTGCACTCAATGATGGCATAGCATATGAACCATTTTTATTAAAAGCTAGAATTTTCTGGAGGGAAAAAACGAACAAACCACACATTCACAACAGTTCTGGTATGTTTGTAGGACCAGTTTTACTAGTGTAACTCCAGACATGTTCCAGACTGATTATTTTATTGTGTCACCTACATCTTTTTATTTCCCTCTTCCTGTTTCCTCCTACCATTCTAATCATAATAAGCAAAGGATATATCCTTTTTCCAGGGATTCTGGTTGCCTCATAGTATGTTCAAAATATTTTTGTTTCAATTTCGTGGCTGTAGAAAGTTCCAGGTTCATTTTTTTCAAATTATGAAGCAAATAATTAAAATGGTACAAAGAATGTCAATTGGGAATTGAACCTGGGTCTAATAGTTTGTTAATGTCTTCCTTTTACTCTAGTCAAAGGTTGAATATTAAAATGAGGTGAGAATTGGCTATTTTTTTTACAAGAGTACATTGAAAGCTTCAGAGTGGAGGATGGAGGGAATTTGTTGAGTGAAATGAACACCATTGTCAATAAAGATGATTTGTTTTCCAATTTCCTTGATTTGAAAATTTTAAACAGTGGAAATCATTAAAAGCATCTAGGTATGGATTAATTGTGACCTGGAAAGGTGGGGATGACAGGTAACCTCTCCATCTGTTTGCATTCAAATTAGATCTATTACACTTATCACTGATACAATAAAAAGACACTGGAGTAAGTCAAAAAGGACTTTCAAAGTTTCATGATTCTCCTTCTCCTGCTCCCGATTTGTGTGAAATGGAATATCTCCTAGATCTTAGTTAATGTGTTCAATATAATTTACTATTTTAAAAAGTAAACCCAAATAAATTAATTCAAATTGTTCAAGGAATTACTCTCCCGAATTGGAATTCAAACCTGGGTCTCATTGTTTACACTTAATTGCTCAGAACTCTCCTACCAAGATGATCCACAAATTAAATAGGTTCTTAGACCTGCTATGTTGCCTGTTATTTGATTCATGTGCATCTATTGAACTAGTTTGCATCAATTGTTTATTATTATTTTTAATTAAATACCAGGATGATGAACTTACTTGATTTAATAATATTGAAGAAAATTAAATAATGAATTAAAACTCCTTCATTAACTGCAAAGAATAGGCATTTTGGATTTTAAAAAAAATAACATCTTCAACGACAAAGATTAGGCCTGATGTCCAGTGTATCTACAATTTTCTTATGATCTAAAGAAGTATAATTAGCAACTTCACAGGACCTTCATTTTGTCTGTTTTTACTTTTTCACTCTAGAATTTCTTTGGAAGTGGAATTATAATCCCATTTTCACATCTTTAGGTTAAGATTGGGTCTCTCAGAGGGTGTTTTTTCCTGATTGTTCCACACATTGTTTCTGGAATCTTCTAAATTTGACATCAAGATCACATTATATTTGAAGAGTAATGTAGTAGCATAAGTAATAAAAAGTGAAAACTTATTCTAAAATTTTCTTATTTAGATCCATTTTGGTCCTGGAGTGTTCTGGACCAACTAAAGTGATGATTTTTGATATAGTAACATATCTTAAGATAATATCGCTCCATTACTGACAAGGGCAGACATCCTGATTTCGGGCGTACAAAATTGCATGTATCTTCTTGGCACATGAACCTGTGTTTTACATGTCTTCAGAACAGCACTAATAGACATTAGTCAGGGCATAGGAAAAATTGCTGCTCAAAAAACACTTAAACATAATATTTACAACTGAAGGTTTTTTCAAGCCCATATTGTTGATTAAAATATTTCTTATCCCCATAAAATAGTGTAGGCAGGAAAATTAAAAATAGCAAATCTGAATGTACTTATAAAGTATATAAAGGAAATTCTTGTGAATGGGATTGAAGTTTAAAAGTGCAAATTTAGAAATTATGTGTTGAATGTATGAAAGAATGTATGTGTTGTAACACCACTACTTTACATTAGTAGTGTTAAAAGTGAGACGAAGCTCAAATGTTGAATAAAAGTGATAATGCAACAAAGAACACAAAATATTTTCATCTGATCAGTTACAACTGATCTTAATGTAACATGATATCCAATTAAGAGATTTGTATATTTGAATGAAAATAAAAGGAAAGTCAGGAAGGGTATTTAAAAAATTGTGTGTGACATGAGATAAAAATGATTTTGTAGAATACAAACGTATCATACCTAACTGTTTTAGACAGCCTCACAATCTTTCATTTTATTTTAATTCAAGTTTAAAAATCACATAATTGTGTACTATGTTATGTTAAGTTTAGTACAATAGCTGATCGGATTGGAGAAAAGTACTGTAACTTGTTTTCTTCATTGGATTTGCATTGTTTTGCTTGTACATTTGAGCAACATCTCACTTTCAGAACACATGCTAGAAATTGAACCTTATGCTGAACTGAAAGAAACCAATTTTATGAATGGCTGTTTAAAATGTTAGCAAACCTTCATTATCCAAAGAAAGAAAAAACTGAGTAGACAAGGAATAATTTAAGTAAGATAGTCCCAAACCTACTGAAAGGATGTATTTTACTAGTAATAATGGAAAACAAACTATAGGGAGAATATAATTGTAACTGTGTTGTTACAGTTCATAAATACATTTCATTTTAAGTTGAATATAGGTTTTCCAAATGGCTTGGAGATCTTCCCAAACTGCTCTATAACAATTCTCCATATCTTCAGATTAAAATGGGAAAATTAGAGATAACATCTTTACAGAAAAGATAAGTCAGGATACAGAAGACATAACCTCCCTGTGCATAGTCCCATAGCCTCACTACGGCTGAAAATAATTTAGCCTCTTTCGCCCAGTGTGTGCCCTGTTAACTTCAATACATCAATAATGAAAAAACTGATTTTCTGTGAAGGTTCTCACTTCCAGCTCCCTTCTTTTGATGTCCCCACAAATGCCAGAGAGTTTTCATGCCAGAGACATTTATTTACTGGGGTGTGGACAAACACTGCAACTGCATCTGTTGCGGTCAAAGGCACCAAGGATGGTTCCAGAAAATATTACAGGGGGGTGGAGGCATTTTGTGAATTAAGGAAATTTTTTATTTTGTTAATAGGTTCTAAAAATGGACAATTTGAGTTCAATTGCTATTTTCTTTGCATTCTATTTAATATTGACAAAAACATAAATAAAGAGCATCTATATGTACATGATATCAATGATAACAACTTTGCTACATTTATTTGACCCCAAAGTATCAAAATTTTACTAATTTGTTGTTTTTAGCTTCTGGGCAAACAATCTGAATATGAAGTCAGAGCCACCATGAATAATATTAAATTTTAAAATTAATTTTTGAAAATGTTTTAATTGATAACAACTTATTAAAATAAATTCTCAAAAATATTGAACAGTTTAGAACATACAGAAATTTTAAGAAACATAAAGAGTGACATGGCTCTTAGAGTTATCAACTTCCATCTAAGAAAAAGGAAGACTTTCAGAAGGTTTAAAAATAATAACAACTCCAGTCTCATGTGGAAATTGAAAGTTCTGTTGCAAATCGGATTATATCTCCACAGTGTGTATTGTACTCCTTGTTTATCTCACAGCTCCAGCACTCACAGTAGGATAATGAATGCATCAAGTGTTTAATACAATCCTGAAATCTACACAACTGAGATGCATTAGAATGAGTATGTAGTTTTTTTAAAAGAAAGATGGAATTTTCTTATAATATTTAATATTGAAGTAATTAATGGAATATTACTAGCAATTATGAGTAATGCTAGCATTATATATTGCTGTGATATTTTGAAGCATTATTGAAAAATATTCATAATTTATTTTGAAGATGTGGGGAAAATAAATAATATTCCACAAATACTTGTACATTTGCTTCAGGTATCAGCCAGATGTGTTTCATAGATTAGTTTCCCATCTTCAGTTGTTTCAGCTCAAACCAGGGCACATAGAACAAATAACATTTAAAAAAATTGGTTCCTCCTAATATGTTGAGAATCATGTGATTCTTAACATGTTAAAATGACTTTTTTTAAAGATATAATTTGTTCATGTTGATTATGGAGAAATAATTCCCGAAACACGTCTGGGTGATACTTGGAGCCAAAATATTATTTAATAGGCATTTTAATATTTTAATATATTAATAATTTACATCATGGGAGATATTTTCTTTTCTCTGTAGGTATCCTCAAAATCATGCAATTTTACGAAATTCCAGCCGAAACTATATACTTCTTTTATTTGTATGAAAAAATTAATACTTATACTGTTTTTCATGGAGGACGGTTGGCAACCCTAATTGCTCCCCTTTCGTTCGAGTCATCAAGACAGTATTTGTGGTTCGAGCCTCTTGAAAGACACTGAGATCAAAGAACACCGCAATAGCCGTTGCACAAGAGACTCAGGTTCAATGCGGCACGTACTCGTGCACGTCCTTGTAGGAGAAGATGATGTCTGCGATGAAGACGACGCCGGTGATGATGGCGGTAGCGCCGCAGCCCAGAGCCACCATGCGGCGGTCCTCCCTCATGTCGGGCATGCGGTAGCAGAAGTCGATGAGGAGGCCGCCCGCCGCCAGGAACAGCGCCACGCCCACCCACGTGTACAAGAGGTCCTGCGTAACAAACGTCCGCATTTGAATGTCGTAAGACAGCTTCACACATTCGGTACACCCGCTTAGGTGAATAAGGGCCTTTGATCGGTTGGTCCGTGGGTCCCACTCCCGACAGTGGCGGGGTTTTCAACACTGCAGTATCGGCAGCGTTTAAGCGACTCTGACAGTTCTCTCGCCACGTGCTGAGGTACGTCATGTGACCTGCTCTGAAGAAATCATCTTGCGAGAATTTGTTTAATTTCTCATAGCCAGGGTTCAGTGTCGTCACTCATCTGACAAATACGAAGTCACGGAGGCGATAACGTTCGCTTTGGCGAAAGTTATGATCATGATATCAGGACGCGTCATTACCAGTCAGTAAGCGGTGATGATTTTAGATTTAATTTAACTGCCATGCAGGTGGTGCCATGAGCCTAGTAATGTGTGGCAACAGAGCATTGAACTGTCAGAGTGGCTTACACGATGGCGGTACCGTAGTTACATAGCCAAGTCGAAATCAGTGGCTGACTGGAGGAGACTTCTAGCGGTCGGTTCCTCATGTCCGTGGTTTCTCTGATCAACGCCAAGCAAATGTTGGAGCACCCCAACAAAAGGGTATCTTACCCTCACCCCTTACCTACGCACACTTACATGCACCACATTACCACACCTGTTGGGTGACTAGTCGGGAGTTCAGAGCATGTCCTGGCTGAGGCAGTGCCTCGCTGGTAGGAGATAACTGGTTGGGGAAAATCCCCGCAAGGCGACGACTTGGTCGGCGTCGGATCTTGCCATCCAGCGGGGAAAATCACTACCATCTCTCGCGATGAAACATGCACTACACTTACGGTACTCATGTCATCTGTTGTCGCGCCCGAAATCACCAGTCTATCAATCAATCAATTAATAAAACATATGGTACCTATTCCGCTCGCTTGATAGATCGTTTATTTGGGGTTAAAGGCCCGTTTTCACGGTTGCATTATGTCACGGCAGGACGCGTCTTTCTCGGTCGTGCCACTGCATGTCACATGATCGCGTCCGTATCAAGCAGTGCTTGAAAAAATCGCGATCACGCGACAATTAGCGGCGTGACCGGGAGGGTCGCGAAATGTGACATATTCCACCGTGAAAACGGGCCTTAACGGGGCGTCAACTGCCATAGCCATTTGTCCCGTTTGTGTAGTGCTTGTTTTACAGCGGGGATCAGCAGCGCTGTTCCTCACCCATTACAACGTGAGAGTCGACGCCACCGTACACGTCACCTTGCTTATTCCCTTGTTCAGATACCTGGAGGCACCACCTCAGTCGGGATAAGCCATAAGCTCCACACTGTTCCTCCCGCATGTTTGGTACAGTAGTACTTTCAGATAAAACTGTGTGAAGGGGAAGGGGAGGGGAGAGGAGGAGACAAGGAAGAGGAAGTAAAAATTGCGCGCGCTCTTTGTTCCCTTTGTTAGGGTGCTACTTAGGTATTCGCCTGGTACTGAACGATGACACAACGCAAAAGTACCGATCCAAAACAAAAATTCCAACGCTAAAATTCTCCTCCAGACTGACGAGCAAAGTTGGTTCCGAGTCAGCATTAAGGCAGCTCACCCAATCCCGTACAGCAGATGTGTTTGGCGAATGTTCGCTCCCTGTGATGTGTCCTAAAGTCCGACACATGGTGGATAGGGCGAATACCGAATGTTCGGCGCTCGGCGAACAAACAAAGCAAACAACCCGACCACACTACTTGGGATGCGGCGAGCGGTTGCTCGGGATTCTTCGAATACCGCATGTGTGGAGCCACCTTTATAGTTGTCTCTGTGGCGACTCTGACCGAGAGGGTTTGAGTAGCAAAGATGGCGGATTTCTACACTAGTTAGCTAAGTCGAATTCAGTCGCTGTCTAGAGAAGAATACGATCGGTAATTTTTCGTGGTTTCTCCGATCAATACTAGGCAAATGACGGAATTATCCTACCAATGCGAGCGCGTCTGTAGGTAGATGTCGTTCTAGTCATACATTTTAGTGAAAAGAATTTATTATAATCATTCGGTGGAAATTGACAATTTTCAACAGATAACCTCGTCTTCTGAGGTCCTGCTAATGGAATAGAGGGGTGTTCTGACATATAGAATATTACTTCCTTTAACACGTACAGTCAGTTTAGTTATTACTTGATACAAAAAAATAATTATTGACGGCAAAATGTCGGTATCAACGTCTATCAACGCTGGCTAACAAAATGTTCAGACGATTTTTCCCCAAAATTGGTATTCCCCGATCGAGGCTCGGTATTCCCCGGGTTCAAAACGGATACTTTCATTTTTGGAGTACTTTACATGAAGTCTCAACATTATCGAGATTGTGTGAAAAATTGTTCCAATATTTAGATTAAGCTTTTTTTCTTTGGATAGCGTACGGAATGCTTAAAAATAGCCCAGATATTATTTTCGTTGAAATGATAAAGTTTCGAAATTCACAAAGTTTTAAAATTTGATCGGCGTTATCTTATAACTAAAATATAGAAGATAGAGGTTTGTTTCCTTCCTCCTTCTTTCCTTTCCACATTCACTTGAAAATCGTTATTTGCACACTTATGTACGTAAGTGAACGTAAAAGTGAGAAATCGAACAAAACGTTCCTTCATTCTCTAGCATTACTCACAGTTTTGTTTTCTCCGTATTCATTTGAAATTCTTCAAGTTTAATAAGTTCCGAGGTAATACGTTCATAGATTTTCGCAAATTTATTTTTAAAAATACCATAATTGGAATCATATTTAAAATGAAGTCTGCAGCGCGATTCACTTGATAATTCAATTGTTCACTTAAAGATGCCAATATCAGTGTTACCAATGTCGTGAAAGAAAATTATAGCTTATGGAGTGAAAATTTGCCTTTGAGTACTATAGTTTAATCAACGACACCTACATAGATGTTTGTGGCTTAATATCCGGCATACCCACAAGATCTCAATGCCTAAACACGAAGGGAAAAAAATAAAAGAAAAAGATATTGCAAATTTCATTAAATCTTCTAACCGGATCGGAAAAAGAATTATCAGTTCCCCAGCAGGTGACCGAGACGCATCGAATGATACCTCTTATGTCTCGATTGGTGCTTGTAAGTGAAAAAACCGCATATACGCACACTGGGAGTTGCTCAAATACTGTATACGAGATACTATATACTGGATACGAAAAAAGTCATGTAAAAAAATATTTCTTTGCGGAGTACCATTCTCAAACACCGTGTTTTGCTACAGCTCATTTATTTTGATTCCTCTTAACGGACGGCGAACTGTTAAAATCCTTAACAACTACTGTGGCAATAAAAAATTTCTTCTTGTATTTGGTTGGGTAAAGTCCATATAACAGTATATTACGAACAAAATTAATCAAATAATTTTTTGCAGAGTGTAGACTTACGATTTTCTTGGGCACCTTGTCCCCGGTGGCGAAGCCCAGCACTAGCCCCGTGCACACGATGACGAAGCCGCCGAAGGTGACGGGCAGCAGGGCCACGTCGGGGTGGCGCGCCACGTCGGTGGGGATGGCGGTGCGGATGAAGAGCGCCATGCACAGCGCCGCCAGCACCTGCGCCAACAGCCCCGGCACCAATGCGGCGCGCGCCAGCCAGCCCACACCCCAACTGCACTATTATCCCAGTTTGTTTTGTTCAATGTATTCGGTTCAGTGTATGTATTTGGTTCCTGACATTGGTTGTCTCAAAATGACGCCATTTTGTACGATCTCATATTTTCTGAATCATTCTAAGTTATGTAGACCAATTGCTTTATGATTTTATGTAAATCCTAGGTCTAGGCAGCAAATTAAGTGGGTGCCGAAAACATAAAAAAATCCATGTTGAAAACCTCCTTTTTTGCACTTTGACAAACAAAAATGAAAGATTTAAAACTTACTTCTAGAAGCGCAACGTCTTCAGGATAAAGTGACAAAAGAAAATATTTTGAATTGCCCGAAAAATGCATACTCAAAAAAAATTTAAAAAAAGATGCATCATGCATTTTAAGAAGGTGCTTCCTGAAAAAGTGAAAGACAATTAACTGAAATTGAGCAACTTCATGCAGATAAAGTGTGGCATGTATAAATGCCGTCCACGTGGCTTTGCATAACTCGAATGGCACGTATTGCAAACCTAGTTGTGAAACAACAACTTGCTCAGAGCTCGCGTGACATGTAAACTCATTATAATTATGTCTAAAGATAGGAATATTTGAACCATCTCTCCCAATGCTTTGTTAAACGGCTTGAAGCTATGCTTATACCGTTATTGCTGTTGTACTAAGGCTTATTTCCCAAGGAGCATTGACTTATCATCGCATACGTGGTCAATAATTCGAATGAATTAAATAATAACTTCATACTTTTCAACATGTTTATCAAATTATTTTTCCAACGCAATAATGACTGAAAGAGTACTTTTCAAATAGGCCAGCTCCCACACTCAAACGGAACATTTTTCTCAGAACCCACAAGTTCTGTAAAAAGTTGAACATTTCATCTTTTGTTATAAGCCTTATTCTGTCGATTTCGAGTGTTGACGTCTTCCCTGCTAGTGTTTCGGTTATGAGGCGGCTCGTTCAAGTTGTTGAGCTACAACCACTCATTTTCTCTATTGAAATACAGGTAGGAAGTATATTATGCAAATTCGTTCCATTTGTCTCATTTATCTCGTTAATCGTAACCGTATCACATTTTTTGCGTTTAGTTCCATGTCGTTATTCGACATCCCAAAGACCTATAGAGAGGACGTGCGCGCACGCTCTTTACCCTGCGCGTCAATCCCAGAGAGAGAAGGAGGAGTAAACTTTATTTCAGTCAAAAAACAGTAAAAACTGTATGTGACGTATGGGGAAGAAGATCATCTGCGCACAATTACAGAATCCCTTCCCAACATTTTAACTATAAATAGTTGAAAGATGAATAAAAGTTTAAAAAGTAAAACAAATAAAATAAATAACAATAACATTTAAAAGCGTGTAAGATTTGCAACATTTCAAAAACCAAACATTTTCGCTCCCGAGTTATAGAAAACTTAGTTACATTGGTAAACGAACTCCAGGTTTGATTTTTCTGGTTTGCTAACAAAATAATAACTCACCCCCAGCACTACCCTGAGCACAAAGCAAAAGGAGAGTTCAACAAAACCAGCGCATAGTGAAGTTACATTTATGTCCAGAAGCAAAACAAGGGGCCATCTCATTATTTGCTCAATGGATAAAGGAAACCAGACAAATCGGGATTAAGATGGGTGTAATTGACCCAGAAGCTGATGTGCATTACTTGTTCAGGCATTTAAGACTTTTATAAAATTTTAAAGAAAATATTTTACTTTTAACTTAAAGTTGTGTACTGATTTTAATTCTTTAATGTCATCTGGCAATGCGTTTTTAAAGTAACGTGCATGTATTGTATGTGGATTTCCTGTAAACATCTATTGATATTGACACTTGATGAACGTGATTTCTACGACATGTGTTATACATATAAGTATTAGTATTACATGAAAATATATTCCCACCGTTAAGTCAAAATTGTTTTGACAAAAATTACAGATTCGTAAATAAATAGGAGAGAGAGGGAGAGAGAAAGGGAGAGAGGGAGGGAGAGAGAGAGGGAGGGAGAGAGAGG